TTGGAAATCCGTTTTTGTTTCATTTCAGGACAAAAAGAAGAACACTTTCTCAGGCAACTTTTTGCCCTCTATCGCATGGCATAATCAATTTTTATATGTAACGTTTCGTCTCTCCAGGACCATCATCAACTTTATTTTTTTAAATACGTCCCTGGAAATTTTATTACATTTTTTGCAAGCCTTAATGACCCCCAATACTGTACTGCCTCAGCCCGAAACAGATTCAGACGTTTTGTCTCGAAAAATTAATCTTTGTAAAAACCTGTATATGATTTTTCGCAGTTTTTTCAATAAAAACTGCCCAATATCTCAATGAAGATGCATTTTTTCGAAAAAAAGTTTCAAAGAATAGTCATTTAAAATTTTTCCTAAAAAATTGTTGCTATGAAATATTTCGATTTACTAAATAGTTTTCCCGTATATTTTTTTAAATGCAATCCAAGTAATTGATGATACTGAGGATAATATTGATGATCCAGCAGATAATAATAATAATAATAATAATAATAATAATAATTTATTCGTAGAAAATACAGATAAAAAGTAAATCAATATTAAAAGCTATACGAATAAACAATACTTGATAAGTTTACACTTGTTTCAAGAACATAAAGTAAAATATGAACATACATCACAAAATGCCTATCACAGAAAAACATCAAACATGTATATAATAAAACAAAAACAGGAAAAAAATAAATACATAATATATAGGGTGTTCTATTTAAAATAACGAAGTTGACAGCAACTTCCGGTATAACAGGAAGTGCTACGTTGATGGCATTGCTTTCATTGAAGAGGACATATCTGATAATCCCCATAAACAAAATTTATATTGTCTTTGGTTTCTCTGAAACTTCTAATAGGCCACTTACCGTGAAGAACCCTGTATACTGTAATAGCGCAGTTACAATTCGCCATGTAAATGAGTCCAGCAAGTCCAGTTGTTTTCAAGATTAAATATATTTATGGAGAAATAAATTTTTATTCTCCATTCGAATCCTCTCTCCATCCCAGTCCATTAGAAATTACCTTCGAATGGATTGGGCAACATTGGATCGTGACACTTCTAAACTATAAAGACACAAATCTGAATTTATCATTAAATATTAATGTGTGATGAAAGTTTCCTTCACACCGCTTTTTTTTGTCAAAATTGGAATAATGTAAGTAATTATTTAAAGGTGGATTCTGTACCTCAAACGATTGCCTTGGTTCTACAAATAATGGTGAGCATCAGTCACATTAAGCAGAAAAAAACAACCTATAAACACTTTGTTACAGTCATTCAAGTATATATTAAAAATAAATGAAATTAAAGTATTGAAATGAAGTATGCGACTGTGTTCAATTTTTCATTGTGCTACCCGTATAAATCGATATTATTATTAGTACAAAACGATTCCTCAGATATAACCAAATTTGATTTTTATTATAGGCTTCCGGTTATAAAATTAAAAAGGTGGAGGTAGATTTTTTAAAGAAATTGTATTAACGATTTGTTGTAACTAAAATTAGTGTAATATGTTCATTATTTGCGGCTCTAAAAACTCCTCTGTATAAATAAAAGTATGGGTATCCTAACATTTAATTTAATTATTTTACTTTGGCGTAATCGTTAATTTACAAAGTATCAAAGTTAGATACACTTTTACCGTTAATTTTGGTTTTACATTAAGTTATCAAATACTGTAGAAAATTTATTTTTATCTAGTTCTTAAAAAAGGATTAATGTAGCTTATCTACTCCTAGCATCTTCACATTTATTGTAAATATCCACAATTAAGCAATACATACCAAAAGAAGAAATATAATTATAATAGTAATAAATAACTATATAATTATCTCCGTCTCTAGAACACTATTAAGAAAGGAGTTTATAAGAGTAAATTTTATATTAGAGACGATTTAGAAAATAAAATTAGGTAGGCATCTGGCGAAATCAATGGGCAAGAAATAAGAAAAATAATAGTAGGGTGGAAAATACATAGAGGGGAAGTTGATTAATTGAAATGGAGAGATTTTCTTAGTCATTTAATGTTCCTATCCAGATTCCTATACTGAATTATTATTAGCAACCAAATAAAAAATCGAAAAAATAAAAGGAAAACATTACCTATCTTCAATAGTTTTTAAGTTAACGGACTATCCGTATCTAGAACATTTTTAAAGATATTACATTCAAATTTCATAGAGAGATCCTAGAGACGCTAGATTATAATATATTAACTTTTAAAAATTCTATCACATTTTTTCTATATCCACCCACTTATGACTAAAGTCAAATATAGTTATATCAAAATAATTGCTATGCAAGTACCTAATTATTTTAAATTAAAGATTTACAAGGATAGCTCCATGAAAAGTGAAACACAGTATATTAGAAGTAAAATGCATAAGAATTAACGTATTATTTGTTCCAGGGAGCCCTCCAGGTAGTGTTGAAAGTTTTGGCGAAATTTGGACTTTTCGTTTTGGGTGGCACAGCCCTGCTTGTGATAGGGGGAATTTTTACTACAATATTATGCCATTTGACGCCGATTTGTGTGATTTCGTTCCCCGCTTTCGGTGGGCTCGACAAGGAGTCGGTGAGATCGTTGATGACACCTGATAAAATTTCAGCAGCAGCTGCTCTGGTCCAGGATGCTCTCGGAAAGTATCAACGACTGCAGAGAGCCACGAAAACTTAGGCCATTGATAAAGTGTTCTGTTCCATATTTATTATTATCTGCCAAATGAAAAGTTAACGGTATCCTCGTATGGTTAAATAAAGGTCAGATGAAAGATAATCGTTTCTAAATAGAATTGCAACACCGACTAACTCTTAAAGAATATGACTTTATCGAATGTACTTAAATTGCAATTATTTTATCAATGTTATGTTTTATAAGATTTTTAATATGTAGTTAGATATTTGTATTCTATATTCATCTATAAAATTTAAGCAGTTTGCTAGTTGAAATTTTATTAATTAGGAGAGATATAAGACTGAACAAATTTAAGATTTTAATCAAATAAGTGTATTAAAATAGATATAAGAAATTTAAATAAAAAAAAATTTAAATTTGAACTCGCATTCCTTTCCTATAATACATTCTTTTCTTTATGCTACTATAGTCTAGAAAAACATTAAAATCAGCAGCAAAAAATATGCAAAAATGATCTTCCAGTTTAAGTGGTTCTTAGACATCGGAAACCTTGTGGCGGCATGCGGCAGTCAAATAAATAAACAGTAGTAAATTATATTATAATAGTAAGCGGCAATATGCAGTGTAGTAGCAGAAATAGGATAAATATATATATATATATATATATATATATTTAAAAGTTAAATAAACTTAAATCAAAATCCCAATTTGTTTCATCCTGTCCCTGTTTATCCTCACTGAGCAACTGTTTTGCTGCCTCCAGCAAAGCATCCAAATTACTTTCTGCTGTCACATCCTGTCTTCGGGGCGTCAATTCCGGAACATTCTAAATTCTACAAGTTGAGAATAACGTTTCAAAATAAGTCGATTGGAGATTTTGATACCTGGAGGTCATTACCTATTTTAAACTGTTCCGATTATGAAGATGCATACGCAGACGCACTCATAGCATAAACTCCACATTTTTGCCGCAGTCCTCCAGATTGACTGGTATCAACAACAACAACATACGGTTCAGTAGCGCAGCTCCTTCAAGAATTACAACCCTACCACAATTGTATAATATTCAAGTTTTTATCAGGAAAGAAAGGGACTAAAAACACACTTTTGTTCAATATATCATAGTCAAGTGTAGCAGTACGTGCTTTTAAAGAGAGCGTAATGTCTGGTAGGAAGCCAATCGAAGTAATGCCAAATTCCGTTCCTGAGGACGAATGCTGGGGACCGCCTGAAAAGGTTTGTCGAATATGTCGAAAGCGAGAACGAAACGTTATTTTTCTACCTTGCGCCCATGTGGAAGTCTGCTGGATTTGTGGAATGCATATAAAATTTTGTACTTTATGTTATAAAGAACTTTCAGCAACAGTTCGAATAT